ATAGCTTTTGGTAGCTGCAGTAATAACTGTTATCCGACCATTTTCTGTCATCCACCTTGTTTATTATATGAAATGTCTCTTAATAAAGTTCTTTTTCCATCAGAAGGATGAAAAAAAGACTAACTGATATTTCTATATCATGAATTTTGGAAAAGGATATCATGATATCCAATTTGTAAGCTTAAGGCTAGTTGTTTGGTTAACCTTTTAGCTGGGCTAACTCTTTCCCTGTAAATAACTTAGGTCACTACCTGGATTTTGTCAGCAACTTAGCTCTATAAGTTTTTTGTTCTTAATGAGCTGACAGAACCTCCTTTTGTATCGTTGCATCTACTGGATGCCTTAATGAAATCTCACTTACTTATCTCCAGTAGTGAACGAACTCTCAACTAAATATTACACAATATTACCCAATCATGACTTTGAAATACTGCAAATTGACAATTCATAAATTATAATGCTTTCCGTTATCTGCAAAAGAAGGTAATTGGATCATGGAAAAAATCCACCCAATTCCCTTTTCATGTATGGTTACGCGATGCCACCCAAAAGAGAAGCAGTTTATTAAAGGTTCCAAACTCAACGATGGCAACTAAACACTAGTGTTAGCCTGTTTGGAATAAACAAATTGTGTCCTAATAAACATGTGTGTTTAAATAGTTTCAAACTATTCTAACATAAGATTCAAAGTATGGTTGTATCAACTATGCAACAGGAAGGAACTTCATAAAAAATATGGAATAGAAAGGTAGTTCTTCATATTTTATTGGGTAAACTAGAAAAAGAAAAAAAAAACAAGCGTTGAAAATCGAGTTTTATTAACTTAACAGAAACCTCATCCCAAGTCCTAAGAAAAGAAGTGCACTTGATAACCCGGCTTCCTTTGCTCCACTGATCAAAGATCAAAAATCCATAAAGGCTCCCACAAGTGGGGTCTGAGGAGGGTGGTGTGTACGCAGCCTTACTGCTACCTTGAGAAGGTAGAGAGGCCGTTTTCGATAGACCCTCGACTCAAGTAAAACATATTAAAAATTATGTAAAACAAATATAGTAGTGAAGAAGCCATACTGAAAACAATAGAGAAGCGAACAGTAGCAACAAGATTGGTTAATACTTGTCAAAAAAAAGAAAGAAGAATAAAGATTGGTTAATGAATACTCAACTACTAGTAAAGAGGATCCTTGTACATCTGTAAATTACCAAATTCCGTCAAATTTTATGTGGGCTGGTATGATTGGTGGTACTAGTTGAATATAAGCTGTGCACTGTTCAATGCAGTAAAAGCCATGCAAATTAATGGGCATAAGAAAAGATAATGGCCATACTGTATAAACTCCTTGCCATATATTTTTGACTTGAACTCCATAGGGAAACTTATTAGATCAGACCATGCATGTTTTATCATCAAATCTTGCAATGAGACAATGTAAATTAATTAGCCAATATAAGTTTTCCATCTTTTCCTCACAAAATAGATTCTTACGATAAAAAAGAGAATCTGACCGATGAATTTTCCGTGCTAAGGCACCAGCATTGTCTCAGATTTAAGTAAGTAATGTGGAGTGAGTAATTACTCTTTCCGTGACAATCACGTTAGGACTTTTGATAAATAGATTCAATTTTATTTCTTTTAACCACATACACATCTCGATCTAAAAGCTGTACTTGCACATGGAGCTGCTGCCTTTTCAATATAGATCTGCCCATGCTCAAATGTCTAGGAATTAGAATTTGTACTGAGAAAAGTGAGGGACATAACCTACCCAGGACATGCTGCTTCTGTCACTTTAAAATTTGTAAATGTCGTTTTTCTATGCCTGCACAGAACTTGCTACTACACTAATTATGATTGATATGAGCTTGTGTGCTTTAACAAACACTACTTTCCCCAAAACAAATTTCCATTGAAATCTGTGCTTTGATTTCATTGTTTAAATTACATTTTGTGCATTTCCTTTTTTTATTTTTTCTGTTCACAGGCTTACACGCCATTTATGAAGGTAATTATACAGAGGAACAACAGAAAGAGCATATCCTTAGGTTTCTCACATTATTAAGGAGGAAACAAGGCAACCCTATCGTGGTAAGATTTCTTCCTAGTAAATATGTTTTCTCAGGACTCAGGTTAATTGACTGTTATTATATTACTCTTCTGCAGAAGGTTAAATGCGTTGTCTCAGAAAAGTTCATCTCAGACTGGTATGTGATGTGTTCAAAATACACTTACTCCGGAGATAATAGAGTTGTCTAACAAAAAATGCGTGGAGTAAATAGGTGAATTTCGTTGAGTTCTATGCTATATGTTAAATGTTTGACCAGTACATTATAACTATCAATACATAATTAATCTTGATGATGCAACATAAGGTTGTAAAATGACTTCATCACCTCTTCTTCTACTCTGATTAGTGTTCATCTTTTTCCCGTTTTCTTCCTACTGTTTCTCCACCCTGAACTTCTTCATATATTCTTCTCCAACTACTGATGCAAACTCTTTTTTCTGGTTATTTGCCTCTATTTTTCATTTTTTTTTTTATCGAGTTTGCATTTTGATTTATAGGAGGTTCAAAGTTCCATATCGCACAGGATCTACTCAGACTGCAGTAGAGCCTCAGGGAAAGAAGAGCAAGAGCAAAAGGATATGCTGACGTGCCTCGCAAAGTAAGTTTGTTGTGCTTGATGGTTGTCAGAGAATAGGCAAGATGGAAGAAATATCACCTCAAATGTAACTCTGACGGGATCTGATCTACCAAATATCTTCTAACAAGCTGGGAAACAAGGGATAAAATTCCAACAGGTGGAAAATGTAGGTTTGAAAAACGATACAATTGATTTACTCCGCCTAGGGACTGCATTGAACCTTCCAGGATGGTTGAACCATTGCGTTATTAGGTGCCAAACCAGTAGCCCTGCTGTTGCACCTCACCAGAAGGCCAAGAGAGAGTCCCTCTTGCTTATCCCCATTTATCTCGTATGAAATCCTATCGTCTTCTTTAAGCATGCTGATTAACCATGGTTTAAATAATACTTGTTTGAGTTTATCATGTTCTCTTAAATGAGTAAACATCAGTTTATCTTGATGCAGCAATGTTGCTTAAAATGTTGTGAATCTCAAGACGTTGGCAAAAGGCAATTGCAATGCAACAGTGTATAACTATTGAGTTTTTAACACATCTAGCAAAGTTTGATCCTTCTTTTTGTTGGCATTTTAACCTTCTTATGCATTGTTCTTTTGGGTCCTTTTTCCCATTTTCGCTGCAATGGGCATTGTTCAACTGGATTTCACAAGCATATGTAACAAATTTTCTGGGCTGCTTTTGTTGATGAAGAAATATCAGTGTTTCTCTAGGCTCAACAGTGGCATAATTTTAAAATTGTCAAAGATTAAACTCATCGTATTTCTTAAATTATGGGCTTAGATATGATCTTTGTAAAAAAGAAAAGAAACAATATTTCACATTGAAACTAAACTTCTTGTGAATTTTACCAACTTCCCTTGGAGAATCCTCTTCCAATGGGGGTCATGACCCATGCAAGGGTTAAGTTATTTTAAAAAGGAAAAAATGTCTATAAGACGAAAACAATAACAATATATCTGGTGTGATTTCATAAAGTGAGGTTTGAAGAGGATGAAGTGAGTGTACATAGATCTACCCCGTCTTGAATTCTCTTATATAAATTTCTGACTTTGCAATCAATACTAGTCTTTATTTATTGACTCTATTTTGTTTTAAGAGGTACTAGTACAAAATGGTATCTTCAAGCTATTTTTTTTTCTTTTCAACTTTATCGCATTACTTTAAAACATGTTTTGGACATCCGTTACAACATAACTTGGGAAGACAGAATCCCAAGAAATTCTATACATGAAATAGAAATTTTTGCTAGATTATGGGCTAATACATTCCATGTTCAAGGAATATATATAATCTCGATTTCTTCAAAAACTTCATCAATCGCCAGACATCCTCGCAAATGGTCTCTATTTCCCAAGATGTTATCAAATTCTTTTGCAACATTTGTATGACGTTCTTTGCATCTGACAGTATGTGAACCTTTGACCAACCCTTTTGGATAGTTAAAAGGGTATTTTTGAGTAAAATTAACATATTTCAAATAATTCCAAGATATATTTTACCTTTTCTAAAAGATGTGCACCAATGCAACTTGTCATTTAGAGGGCAATTCCCAAAGAAAAATGAAAGAATCTTCAAATACTTTTTTTTCTTTACATAATTGGTCTACTAATGGTTTCTAAAGAATAATAAAGTGGAAGCACAATTTTGATGCATTCATTTTATCCAATTTTAAACTAACAATGAAAAAGAAAGGATAAAAAAATTATTTAGAATTGTTCCTATAACACTTTTACTAACTTAGCTTGATATAAAAGCACCTCTTCAAAATTAATATCCCTTGGTCCCATACTTTGTTCAACCAAATATAATTCAGAATAAATGCCAACCAAATTAATAGCCCTTGAACATAAATATCGAATAACTTTGTTCTATCAAGACTTTAGGCAAAAAGAAGTTTGTTTCTTGTTAGCTGTTCGAAAAAGGTGCCAACACCATTTCCCAAGTGAATTTAGTGTAGGAAATAGTTTGGTCCCTACAACGATATATTCAATAAAATTAAAACGATACAAAAAAGAATAACAACCAACATCACCCCTACACAGGATGACATGAACAAATCGAGAACTGGTCCAAATCAAGTGTAGAATTTAAAGAGTTATCGTTCATTTCACTCCAAATGAACGAAACTCTCCTCCTTTTTCGTTAACAAAGATGAAAAAACTGCAGGAGTTCCTTTGTTCAACAATAAGAAAACAGGAAATGCTAGAGGCAAAGGATGAAAACACCAAGGCCAAAGATGATTCAGACAGCAAAAGAAGCAATCGACGATGATTTGGATAGCACAAGAACCAGATCCATTAATAAAACAGCAGCAAGCATAGACAAAAGTTTAGAAAACGAAAAGTAGAGGAGGTACAATTGTGAGGTAAGAGGAGAAGCCTCTTCAGGCATTCAACCCCTTTACATTTTAATTCCCAAGGTGACAACACAGCGGTACAATTTCGCACATAGTTGACAAGACCTATATGTTATTGCCCTTAACACTAGAAACAGGTGCCTTCGGGTGGCTGAACTAGCTTACGGTTGTGGGGAGAAGCCATTTCCTTTTTCAGTTGAGTCAGTATGTCTTCCATAGTGTACTCTCGCTGCCAATTTGAAAGCAAAGCAAACTTTTTTGGCTCCACCTGCACAAATTATACGATTTCACTAATTGAAAAGACATGTATGCCACTATAAACAAGAACAAAAACATATTACATTTGGACAGTATACAAAGCATCACGGAACAAATATTATTGCAGAATTTGTAGGCATCTTTACATATGACGAATCCTAAGCACCCTTTTGCTGGTGGCTTCATATTTCTCTACAGTTCTAACTTTCAGTCAATCATGCAAACCCTACCAGAGAAATAGAATGTTATCCAACATCTAAAGCTGCAGACACAAAAAGTTGTTGGAACATAACATCGTAGCATCATGCATTTAGGAGAAAGGCCATCTCGAAAGAACGTTCAAAGTTTTGGGAGCAAAAATACCATTGAAACTGATTTGGAATATTCAACAATAAGAGCCACATCTACCTACTACTCAGACTACTAAACTTTTTAATACAGACTTTGTCCGCATTTCAAGAAACATCTTTTTATTCCAGGGAATAAAGCATTTAGTTAGTACCTCTCTGTTGGATACAAATCCTATGAGGGTATCTGGTGTTGCTCCACTTTTGTTTTTACAAGTTCCATTCTACATGTAATGCCATTAAAGATATACTTGCAGTGTTGAATTCAACCATGGATGACAAAAGTTCAGATAATTTAAATCATTTTTAGCATATGAGCAACGATTCTGAAGATGCAAATTGTCACATAATAATTGCTTGATAACAAGAGCTACGATTCAAGCATTATAGTAATGTGTTGCTTACCACTCCTGTTTCATGGTTGACACATGTCATGTTAACTCGAGAGTGGAAACGGACACTTGGTGGCTTCTCCGGATAATCCTTGTCGCAGAATAGCTTCAACTGATAAATGCGGCCTTCATGCACAGACTGGAAAAGAAGTAAGTTAGTCTTTAAATGCGAAAGACATAGGAACCATCAAATTGCATAAAGTAATACTCGTAGGACTAGTGGACAAACAAATCTGTAGTCCAGGAAATTCATCAACCCACTAGCACAGGTTAACAGTTTGACAAACAAAGGGAGTATATAAATTCTAAGTAGAAAAGTGGCAGTTCATGTCTTCATACATTCCTCTGTGAAACATAGCTAAGTGGATTTCATATATTGAAGAAATGATTGAATAAGTAGAAACAATCTCTAGGATTAGCATTTCATGTTATTTGTTATATCCAAATAAAGAGATGGTAGGAAGTAAGAAAGAGAAAAGAACCCGTACATTGTGAGGACCAATAATGGTGCCAGTCCAAGAACGCATATAAATATCATCTCCATCATCCATACCATAGCTCACTGTCCCATCTCCAATACCCTTCTCCCCACGTTCAAGTTCCTCCAGTAATCTGAAATTGCGAGGGACTGCAAGGAAATTGAGATTTTGGTTAGTGAAATCTTCAAAAAGAAAAAAAAGACCAGAGTTGGGTAAAGGCTTCAAACTCCAAACAACATTGTAGAATCTAAATGGAAACAAGATCAATGTCATTGTCACGCATTTTACTCCAAAGTAAAAAGATTATAATAAAAAATCCCAGGTGCATTAAGTTAAGAACCCATTCCCACGTGAAATGATATCAAAATAAATTTGCTAGCACATCAAACAGTCAGTGGTAAGCTCTACTGGTTGCTGAGAGTCTTTTAATCTTGTATAAGTTTTATGAGCCAGTAGAAATATAGAGAACTTCTGGTTTTTGAGAACCTAAATTACTAAATATTGGTTTGAGATGGATCAAAATGGAGTGACATGGATAGTGAGGATTCATATAGCCAATTGCAACTAGCTTGGGTTTGAGGCATAGTGGTTGTTGTATACGTAAAAAAAGGTCAGTGACCACCACGATGCAGCAAAAGGGACAGTGATTTGTGCAACTATTGAAGCTTTGGAAATTAAGTTAGTCCTGCAACTCCCCTATCTGCACATGAATGGGCAGAGAAGCACAAATCATCATCATCATCTTCTTCAAACTGAGGTTAAATTGAGCATTAGTTCTAACTCACAGTTCCATGATATAAAGAAAGGCAGAACAGAGATGTGTAAACCGTATTTCCCAAAGAGCAATCAATCCACAACTTGGCAAGTTGTGGTATATTGACCAGAAACTCTAAAAACTACAACCAACATATGAAAACAAATAGGGATTAGGATACAAGCAAATTACATGCTATAGTAACAACATGAATTTCCACCAAACTGCAAGGCATAAACCCTCATGTGCTTGGATATATGAAACCAAAGAAATACTCATCACTGTCTTTCATTTAAGGTATTAGATCTGGAAGACCATATAAATAGCTTGGGTTTTCTCAATAGAACGAAAACTCTCTGAAACACAACTTTCCAAACCATAACATCTACCTCCATATTCAAGAATTTAAAGCCCAAAAAGGGATTTAAAAAACTCATCTTGATGACACAATTATTGTCATAGGTCTTTCGGAAACAACCTCTCTACCTCCACGAGGTAGTGGTAAGGTTTGGGTACACTCTACCCTCCCCAGACCCCACCTGTGGGAATGGGTATGTTGTTGTAATTGACTGCAGCAAATTTGAAAACAAGCAAAAACAAAAAAGAACACACAACCAGAACTACTTCCTAGCTAATCCAAATTAGAAAATCCCAGATAATAACCAAATGAAAAGTTGTTATTGGCAAGAATTGAGACACTGATTAAACTCCCACAAGCCAAAGAACTCATCAAATACATTGATTGAACTCCACATTCAAAAATCTAAACCCCCACCTATCAAAAACCTCTTTACCTCCACGAGGTAGTGGTAAGGTCTCCTTACCCACTCTACCCTCCCCATACCCAACTTGTGGAATTTCACAGGTTATGTTGATGTTGTAATTGACTGCAGCAAATTTGAAACCAAGCAAAAACAAAAAAAGAACACACAACCAGAACTACTTCCTAGCTAATCCAAATTAGAAAATACCAAATAATAACCAAATGAAAAGTCGTAATCAGCAAGAGCTGAGACATTGATTAAACTCCTACAAGCCAAAGAACACATCATACATTGATTGAACTTCACATTCAAAAATCTAAACCCCCAAAAGGGATTAAATAAACCCATCTTGATGACACAATTATTGTCAAAGGATCTATCGGAAACAACCTTGCTACCTCCATGACGTAGTAGTAAGGTTTGTGTACGCACTTCTACCCTCCCCATACCCCACCCGTGGGATTTCATTGGATATGTTGTTGTTAAAATTAACTGCAGCAAATTTGAAAACAAGCAAAACCAAAACCGAACACACAACCGGAACTACTTCCTACCTAATCCAAATTAGAAAAGCACGGATTAAACTCCCACAAGCCAAAGAACACATCAAATACATTGATTGAACTCCACATTCATAAATCTAAACCCCCAAAAGGGATATAAAAAACTCATCTTGATGATACAATTATTGTCAAATTTGCAAATAATTCACCCCATCAAACTTGTTATCAAATCCAAATCAATTGATAAGGCAGTTCCTCAGTGATAGCAACTATACAAAAGTCCTAATCAACAAGAACTAAGACATTGATTAAACCCACAAGCCAATAAACACATCAAATACATTGATTGAACTCCACATTCATAAATCTAAACCCCCAAAGGAATAATACATTTATTGAACTCCACATTCATGAATCTAAACCCCCAAAAGGGATATAAAAAAAACTCATCTTGATGATACAATTATTGTCAAATTTGCAAAATAATTCACCCCATCAAACTTGTTATCAAATCCAAATCAATTGATAAGGCAGTTCCTCAGTGATAGCAACTATACAAAAAGTCCTAATCAACAAGAACTAAGACATTGATTAAAACCCACAAGCCAATAAACACATCAAATACAAAACATGCATAAAACAACACAAACAAACCGACCCAGAATCAGATTTGAATGAAAAATCAAGAAAATCATAGCAAAGATCAAAAAAAGAAACAAAAGGGGTTATGGGGTTTTCAAAAAATTAGCTCACCCACAACACTAGATCCTCCTGAACCAAGCGTCATGGCTGATTGATGCTTCAGATGATTCTTTGGGGTTTATACAAATATCGATTTGATCGACAAAAAGAAGAAAAAAAATAAAATACTGAGAGATTCTTGAAAAATCGAATGGAGGGTTCAAGAGAGGCAGAAGGGAATAGAAGAGGCAAAAGTATAGTGGGGGATAAAATAGATATATGATTGGTAGTGGGTCGGAAAATGCAATTGCACAAAAGATCTCACAATTTCCGATTAGTCTTGACGTAATTGATAAAGTTGTAATTGTGGTTTAATTCATAAAAATAGTCCGTTGCACAAATACAAAGGTTTACGATTGTGTATAATAACTCTTTGTGGTTCGGCTTTTTCCATGACTCTACGCATAGCAAAAGCTTTAGTGCATCAAATTTGTCGCCTTTTTACTCCATTCGTCACGAAATACTTGTTATATTTTGTTTTTTGAAAGGTAGTTTGATTAATCTTCAAAACTATACTGAATTAGATTAATTTAATATTTTGAAATTAAAATTTAGGTATATGATTGGTAGTTGGTAGGAAAATGCAATTGTCTAAAAGATCTCACAATTTTCAAGAACAAAGCATTGACGTAGCTGGTAAAGTTATATTCATGGTTTAAGTCGTGAAAATAGTCTGTTGCAGAAATACATGGAGTACGGTTGTGTTTAATAACTCTTTGTGGTTCGGCTTTTTTCTGAACCTCAAACATAGCAAAAGCTTTAGTGCATCAGACTTGTCACCTTTTTTACTCCATTCGTCTCAAAATACTTGTTATGATTTGCTTTTTGAGAGCCAATTTGATCAATCTTCAAAGCTAAATTGAATTAGATTAATTTGAATTTAAATATCCAGAAAATTACAAGAAATAGTACTATAAGATGCAAATCTTTCATATTAATATGATATAAAAAATATACATATTCAAATATTAATCAAAATTTAAATAATTTAACTCTTGAAAAGAAATTACAATAAATAATTTAAATAATAATTTAAGACGGAGAGAGTAATAAAAAAGATAAACGAAAAAGAAATCAATCTAAAAAGACGCATACAAAGAATATAAAAGGCATAAAGAGTGGAGATAGCTTTCTTGAAAATCATGAAGAAAAAAAGACTTGGAAAGAGAAAATAGTTAAAAATGGAATATAAAAAGTTGTTCCAAATGGAATAGGATATCATCTAGAGGCAATAAAATCAAACAATATGAATTGGAATGTGTTAAAAAAGCATATTGCATTATTGCTTGGCAAAGAAATGACAAGGCAAAAAAATAAGAACAATATTTTGATTCATGAATTGTCTATTTAAGTTTTGATTGATATACATGTATCATTCCATTTAACATATGTGATATGCAATGAACTTATTAAGTTCATAAGTCATGACCAGACAAAGAAAAAAAGGGGAAGCTTTTAAAAACGACTATAATTTGGGCTTAATTAGAGATTTATAATTATAGTTTGCTTAGTTACGAATTATAGCTACATGTTTGGGGGAGGAGAGAGACGAGCGAGATATGGGGGAGAGAGGATACAGGCGAGAGAGGTTGAAAACCTGTTGTATTTGTTGTATCAGGTTGTATCACGAATACAATTGATACAACTGTTTGTATCAAAGTGAATATAATTGTATCAAATATATTTAGATACATATTAGGAGGAGAGAGATGAGCGAGATCGAGAGAGAGAGGGGGGCGAGAGGCGAGCGAGATCAAGAGAGGGAGGAGAGAGGATGAGTACATATTGTATTCGTTGGATCACGTACAAATACAATTGATACATAATAAAAATACAATTGATACAAAATACAAATATAGCTATTTGAATACAATTGATATAAAATACAAATCTCTTAGCTATATTTGATTGAATACAATTAATACACAATACATTTGATAGAGAGGATGAATGCATATTGTATTCATTATATCACGTTTTATGACAAATACAACTAATTTGTATCATATAAAATATAATTGTATTAACAAACACATTTTGTATCGACAAATACAATTGAAAGAATACAAATTTTCATAATACAATTTTAAAAAAAATTATGAAGGAGAAAGGAGGAGGAGAGAGATTTTTTTTTATAAAACCTACCTATAGGTACAAATTATAATTATTTAAACTAAGGTGATTTGTCGTAAATACATGTCACATGTTTGCCTTGTAGTATAATTTTTTCCAAAATAAACTACCTTCACTTTCTTCTCACTTTTATCTCTTTGCCTTAACGATAATAACTACACCTCAATCCAAAGTTAGAATCAACCTTCTTCTCATATGATAAAAAAGAAAATTATTTCTTCAAAAAGGGTACTAATTAGAGTGGGTAAGTTAGAATGATTAAGGGAGTAGAATTCTCATTGCACCAAACTTTACGGGGTGTAACTTGATGAGCTAATTTTTCACTATTTCTTTCTTTCTCCCAAATTTAAGTTTCAAGTATACCGAACAGAGGAAAAAAAATAATAGTGTGTACATAGATTTTACCTTTATTTTAGGAGTTAGACAAACAGTTTCTCATACCCTTGGCTCAAGAAAAAACATGACAAAACAGTTCAGGAAAAGGAATCACAGAAGTTAAAAAGCCACTCTAAAATAGTAAGAGTAGCTTGACTAAACATTCTGAAGAAAATAACTAAAAAAAATGTATTATAATTGACATACAAGAAATGATACATAGTATTAGAAATCGAAGAACAAAAAACTATAAGAGTACTGCTAAAACTACTAGTATGTTTATGTAAGGATAAGTGACACAAGATCCGACTACCTACTAGCTTTCATTATACCTTAATTTGTATCCTCCATATAGACTTCTATCTAAAGTCATGTCCTAGGTAAGTTAAAACTTATGTCATATCTTATCTAACCACCTCTCTCCAGTCTCCAATACTTCTTCTGTTCTTTAGCCTATCTCCACCTCTCCTGAAATTATTCATAACCGACCTCACATTTTCGCACTATGAGACATCTGTGCATCTCCTCTTCAAATATAAATATCCAATCCCCACATCATATCATAATTCAACATGGTGTCAGAATAAGTAGAAGTCTTGGTTTACGTAGTCTCGATTTTAAGTCTCATTGTGGCATCAATATCCACTATTAAATAGAATTTTATGTATTTGACCCATAAATAAAAATAATAAGGCTCACTTGCACATCAGCAGGGGCAGACCCACCCTATGTCATGGGGTGTCGATAGACACTGCTTCGTTGAAATTTTTTAGTATTATATATATAAAAAAATCTGAAAAAATAAAAATATTCCTACAAATAAAATTAATGACATTGCTTGAATAATTGAGCTTCTTGGCTAGTTGGTTTGCAACGGGAATTGAATGGTAATTCTCCCCGGCACGGCCTGAGTTTGAGCCTCAATAAGGCCGAATTGGTCTTCAAAATATGAAAATTCGAGGAAAGTTTAATAGTTTTTTTGACTACTATTGAATACATAATGAAATAAATAAAAGTGTTATCTCTTTAACGATTTAAGCTTTTAGATAAGATGATCGTACACTTCAATATATACACAATCGTCTAGTAGTTTACTAAGAAGCCTGCCTTGCTTTGTTTCATCATTATTGTGTCAAAGGCTTTATTGGCTTTTAATACTGCACTTGTGATCTATCTGCCTTTGACAAAATTACAAGTCATCTTGTGATGAAATACCTATTTACTAACACCAACCAACTTTCTGCCACTAACACCAGGTGGATTTCTTCTCATATGTTCTAGCCTTGATTGATGGACAGAGTTACCTATACCTATTATTAGAATTGGTATAAATGCTAGTTAATTTGTTATGCAAAAAAGTTATTGGAAGTTGTGCTGGTTTGAGGTAGTAGATATCTAGTAAAATAGTTGAGGTGTGCACAATCAGACACGAACACCAATGTTATAAAGATCCAAAAACATACCTAAAGTATCACGTTTTTGTGAGTGTCTTGAACTATCATGTGTTCGCTTTTCTAACATGAACTATTTATCAAAATACACATCGACTAGTATCTGGCAGTGCATGTACTACACTTTGTTCAATTTAAAAATGATACCAAGTGGCACTCCAAGTGGATAATTAAATGATTTTTTAAAATAAAAAAATCACACTTGAAGTATTACTTTTTTATTAGTTTCCTAGCTAAATTATCACCAACTATTATCAAAACACAATTTGAAATGAGTCAGCTGCCATGTGAAGGAAATTTTATGGGCAATTTAAGTTGTCACGTGTGTTTGACGATTGTATTCAAACACTTGATCTAGTCAATTTCAAGCTAAGGTGTATTTTTATCTATAGCTAGTGATAAGTCAAGTAGAAAATGCAAACACATGATAGATTAGGTATGAGACTCGTAAAAAGTGGTATTTTAGGTGTGTTTTTCACTTGCTCTGCACTAGCTATAAATCAATCTTGTTGAAATCATATATATATATGAAAAACAAAGTAGTAAGAATTTTAGCTTGACATAATGTTTGCATCCATAGGTAGAATTAACATAGTATCCATCCAAAAGTATTGCATGCTTTGTTGGAATATCAGAGGCTGTTTTTTGAGTCAAAATAAGTAACCCCACAACAAAAAGTCCTTTTGAAAAAAAAACATTTTTTTTTATAATCGTGATGTTTGAGCCATTTTTTATGCACCTCGATTAATTTCACGAAATATTTGCTTCCCCCACTGATGGTATTGTTAGCTCTATCATTAAAAAACTGGTGGTAAGTTGGGGAATAAGAGTATGTTTATGTGCCAACAATATGATGAGTTCACCTGTTTGTCAATTTAGGGTTAGTTTGAATTACATATGCATACAGTTGCTTGTTGTATGTTGTTCACTACTACCAGCTTGCTTATGTATATGAAAGTTGTTTTCGTATGATCTATAGGTTCGATTCGTGGAGTCAATCACTACGACGAATTTAAAATATTCAGTATAATTTCATAAGTGGAGTCTAAAGAGGGTAAAATGTATATAGATTTTATCTATACCTTTGTAGGATCGGAAGGTTGTTTTTAATAGACCATCGACTTTAAAAAGAAAGAAAACGAGGAAAACATAGCAAGGTGCAAAAATATATAAGAAGACAAAATAAGAGGA